CCAACAGAGGAACCAGCTGACAGTCACGTCTCATACAGGAAGCAGTTAATACACTGGATTGCTGCTCGATGACTGCTGTTGTACTTTCAGCACAATAAGAAATGCTCACACACAGGACAGTAAAACTAACTACTGGAAGGCCTAACAGAATTAGCTTTACAACTGGACCACCATTCAGCTTTTGTATGCTTGGTGTCTTGTTGTCCTACAATCTAGAGGAATAAGATGGCTTTACAATAAGAGAATTGTACATGTCTGTTGGTAGCTGCTCGGGTTTATAGTAATCAAAGTGATTATGCCAGGAGCAGTCTCAATTTGAGCTTCCTTAAAAGCAGGTGCCTGCCAGAATTCACACATTTTCCAGTCAAACAAAAGCAAAATTGGTGTCGTAAACTTCACCAGCTTCGCTTTATTACATCCTTAGCCAAGCCACAACTTTTACATTGAAAGGCGTGTGTCACTCTGTGGCTCTCTTCCTCTTCCTTTACCGAGTTCCCAGCTCACCCCTGCTGTTGGGTGCCAGCCAGTGTTTGAATTATGAGGAAGCCGGAGGGACTCGGCTCCCCTCCCCTAAATGATACCGGACGCTGCGCTAAAAAGCAATATGAGCTCAAGTTTGGGGTGGTGTCGTGTGTAATACTAATCAGCCCTTTAATTTTATTAATAAATGACATTTCAACTACTACAGCAAGCCAACTCACTTTACCAAAGCACAGGAGTTGCTGATCTTAGTTTGCCTGAACTTGAAGGTAACAACATTTTCACACTGAGCTTGTTTGTTCCTTTTCATTTAGCTTAGGGCAGATATTTTTTAAAAACATTAGCACATGCAAATAAGAAGCGCAAAGCTTGATCTGTTATTGTTAATCCTGTAACAAACCTGATAAACATCTGACCACATTTTTTCTATGCAAATGTAAGATGATATCTTTTCTCAATCTGAGTTTGTGCACATGTGGTTTGTGTTAGTCGAGAGGCTTAATATATATGAGCAGTCGTCTGTGTGGCTGACAGAAGAGGCTCCTGTTTGTACAGTAACATATTATATACATACACGTGCGGCACACACCTGCATGCCTGTGCATGATTACTGTGTGTCAGGTGGGAGGTTTCATGCATGCTCTTCATCTGTGATTGTGTGAAGCTACCGTGACTGGGCCGCAACCAAAGCTGTCAAGAGTCATGCGAACAGTGCTAACATGCCTGTGTGGTCGCCATGTGTGTCTGATTCAAAAGAAAAGGACACTGCAGTTTCATATATCACTAACATGGCTGCTTCAATGACCCAAACTGATGACCACAGGGACAACCCCTCCCCCCCAAATAAAGATCTGAACATGCCACTGCTCTGAGCCTTTGCCACAAACCAAGCACCAGCAGCTGTACCATGTACTCAATAGCCTAGTTCTGGTCAAACTGTGAGTAAGGGTTTTAACTCAAATGACAGGTAAAAAGGTGATACAGAGTAAGCAAACAGTGAGCAATATAGCTACTGTGGGTAGCACGTCTGCAAGTCTGTACAAGAAGAAACTGTCAATAAAGGTGCATCTTAACTGTTTAACATGATTCCAGCTTGCCTCTTTCGTCATCCATGCATAAGCCAGCTGCAGCAATAAGAAGCCCAGCAGACAGAATTCCTGTCTATGATTAGCTAAATCAATTCTTAAAACGTGTATTATGAACATATTTTTGTATATGAAGTTGTGCCTTTAACAAGCATTGTACCCCTAAAAGGTAAATCCTGCCAGTGCCAACTCCATAGAGCCCAAGATACTTAAGACAATCACGTGTATCACCATGCCTCCTTATGAAATATAACAACTTAATCTGAATCACAAGGACTATGAATGAAAGGCAGTGGTACGAATCCTTGTGACTGTACATGCATTACAATCAAAATAAGAACCCAAATTAGCCTGAAATTGGCCCTGGAAGCTGCTAGATAGTTTAACTTATTGTACCTTGAATACTACTTTATCCACTTTGCATAGGAAATGTCAAATCCTGAATCATGAGCAATGCAAGTGCAATGCAGCACAAATATCCATGACTACTTGCTTCATGTTTCAGACAAAAAACTGACTCTCTATCTGATGATTCTTGAGTAAAAATCACAACTTCAACATCGAAAAAATGTTGCAATAATGTGAAATCCCCCAAATGTGAAGGAGCAAAGTCCCCTTAAAAACTTACAGAGGTGTATCACCATGCCTCCTTGTGAAAAATAACAACTTGACCTGAATCACAAGCACTATGAATGAAAGGCAGTGGTACAAATCCTTGTGACTGTACATGCTTTCCAATGTTTTAGTTAAAATAAGAATCCAGTTTAACCTGAAATTGGACATGGGAGCTGCCAAATAGTTTAACTCATTGTACCTTGCATACTACTTTATCCACTTTGCATAGGAAATGTCAAATCCTGAATCATGAGCAATGCAAGTGCAATGCAGTACAAATACCCATGGATACATGCTTCATGTTTCAGACAAAAAATTGACTCTTTGTCTTTGTAAAAATCACAACTTCAACATCGCAAAAATGTTGCAATAAAGTGCAATCCCCCAAATGTGAGAATTGACTATGTCCCTAAAGAGCAAAATCCCCTTTAAAAGCTTACAGAGGTGTATCACCATGCCTCCTTGTGAAAAATACCAACTTAATCTAAATCACAAGCACGATGAATGGAAGGCAGTGGTACAAATCCTTGTAACATTGTGACAGTACATGCATTACAATCAAAATAAGAATTCAAATTAGCCTGAAATTGGCCCTGGAAGTTGCTAGATAGTTTAATGTATTGTACCTTGCATACTACTTTATGCACTTTGCATAGGGAATGTCAAATCCTGAATCATGAGCAATGCAAGTGCAATGCAGCACAAATATCAATGGTTACATGCTTCATGTTTCAGACAAAAACTGACTCTCTATCTGAAGATTCTTGAGTAAAAATCACAACTTCAACATCGCAAAAATGTTGCAATAATGTGAAATCCCCCAAATGTGAAGGAGCAAAGTCCCCTTTAAAAGCTTACAGAGGTGTATCACCATGCCTCCTTGTGAAAAATACCAACTTAATCTGAATCACAAGCACTATGAATGAAAGGCAGTGGTACAAATCCTTGTGACTGTACATTTAAATCAAAATAAGAATCCAATTTAGTCTGAAACTGGCCCTAGAAGCTGCTAGATAGTTTAACTTATTGTACCTTGCATACTACTTTATCCACTTTGCATAGGGAATGTCAATACAAGTGCAATGCAGTAGAAAAACCCATGGTTACATGCTTCATCTTCAGACAAAAAAATTGACTATCTTCGTTAAAATCACAACTTCAACATCACAAAAATGTTGCAATAATGCAAAATCCCCCAAACGTGAGAAGTGACTACGTCTCTAAAGAGCGAAATCCCTTTAAAACCTCCAGAGGTGTATCACCATGCCTCCTTATGAAAAATTACAACTTAATCTGAATCACAAGCACTATGAATGAAAGGCAGTGGTACAAATCCTTGTGACTGTACATTTAAATGTGCATTTAAATCAAAATAAGAATCCAATTTAGCCTGAAATTGGCCCTAGAAGCTGCTAGATAGTTTAACTTATTGTACCTTGCATACTACTTTATCCACTTTGCATAGGTAATGTCAAAGGGCATTCTGAATCATGAGCAATGCAGAACAAATATCAATGGTTACATACTTCATCTTCAGACAAAAAATTGACTCTTTATCTTCGTAAAAATCACAACTTCAACCTCGCAAAAATGTTGCAATAGTGCGAAACCCCCCAAACATGAGAAGTGACTACATCTTTAAAGAGCAAAGTCCCTTTAAAAGCTCACAGAGACTTAAATGTAGTGTATTGTAGCTCCAATTACAGTATCTTAAATTGAGGGATTGCCCTAATATCCTCTGTGTGCCACACATTAACAATCACTATCCCTACAACCAGGAGTCACCCAATTACTCGTCACAGTTTTATTGTCCAGACTTATCAGCTGCAGTCCAGCTGTACACAGCCACTGAGGCAGGAGATAAGGCCCTTTCCTCATGGCCTGCCAGGTTTTCCCTGTCAAATATTTATAGAAGCTGAAACGTTAGATGGCCATCAGACTCTCTATACAAGCAGCAGCAGCAGCAGCAGAGACCAAACCTTGAATCCAACCAACCTACCTCACATTTTAAAACACTGCACCTGACAAGAAAACGTGTTGAATCCACTGTTAAATAACTGACGCACTTCCAAAAGCTGTCAAGTTAATATGACTCTTTAATGAGAGGCAGTGAGGGGGTTGGGAGATGAGATGGCCATCTTTCGAGTGAAATACTGGGTACTTTTCCAAATTACTCACCAGGTTGTCATTAGATACTCAAACCAAGGCTCGGCTGCCTTTAAGTTAACCGATGAAATAAATGAAGTGATCAGGAAGATGGGGTTTATGTACCCAGCGGTTGCTGTTAACAGCATGTGTGGGCAGCTGCTGGCTACTTTAGCGAGCAAAGGTTTGCCAGATCTTTTTTGACAGCAAACTTTCTGGAAACATCTGTCCACGCAGCAGAAGTTGCTCTGTGTTTTCAGTTGAGATTTAAACAGACATTTTGGTGAGGGAAGAGTTAAAACTGTTGCTCAAACAAACTACAACAAACACCCCTAATACAATGAAATAACTACTAAGGCTCAGTCTCCAGGAGGAACCGGGCACTGAGCTTGATAAATGACCGAGCTCGGTGTTCAACAGTCGGTCTGGGTGTAGCTACAACACGCCGAACACCCACCTAACATCCAACCCGGCCAGTCGAGACATATTAGTCGCCAAACTAGACACTTAGCCTGCTGTGGCTGTGTATCGCAGCATGAAGGCAGCACCACCAGCAGCACCAGCAGCAGCAGCAGCAGACAGAGTGAGTACTGACCTCACTCCGTCTGTCACAGCCGCCCCGGACAGACTTCACACGTACACCAAAATGTCACGGTACCGAGAGGGGACATTTACCTTGCTGCTCTGGTAGCCCTCAAACGCTCTCAGCGCGCTGTCAGTGAGTTTAACGTGAAAGACGGAGACATTGCTGCCGTTGCTCACTCTTCCACAGGACAGTCCGTAGCACTGCTCCTCCTTCAGCGCCGCCATCTTGCTACCGTTCCCACCACCACGCGCGCACGGACGCACTCTGTCGTAAACCGAGAACTCCCGTTGCTTTTCAATGAATATTCAATGACCGGTCACTGGTGATGAAGTCACTGAGCAGTAACGAAGCCCTATATAGTCACATGTGTGATATATATTTACACCGCAGAATTAATATAACAAAATTAAAAACTAACTGTTAAGTTGTCAGCAGCACTATTTATTACTTTTACTAAATTCGGGAACTAACTCCTAGGCAGCACGTGACTAGTTTACGTTTATTACACTATTATATTTTTATCGTTACCATCATGTTATAGTTAATAATGGGTGACAAAGATAACACTTTGTTCATAGCATTTAAAAATGGGTATTGCACATCAGTAATGCGTAGGAAGTGGGAAACGATAGGTCATCTGATTGCGTCAGCGAAACGTCAATGTGTCGGGGAGAAAAGAAAAACACACCAGCATGGGAATATCCAAAAACTTGGGAATGTCCAGCTGTAAACAAATAAAACAGGAGACATATAAATCCTGCATATTTAAGTTATCTTGTTCCCTAAAAACAAGATAGTTTTCATAGATGACTGCACGAATTTTAATAAAAGGTGTATCTGTTAAGCACTGGTATTTGTCAACCCTGAAAGGCCAGTTTTATAAGGCATAAATGCCACAGAGCACCCTGAATTCACCAGTTTATTAGGGACACAATATAAAAGCAGTCCACAACTGAAAAAAGTAAATAATAAAATAAAAAAATACCTTCTCAGTGATGCTTACAGTGACAGGAACTGTAACAAGACACAAAAACCACACTGTAGTTTGACAACAGACACATTTTATTGTGATGAATATAAAATTAACAAATACAGGGAATGCTGGGAACTTCCACGACCACTTCATTTGTCAAATGTTCAAAGGTTATGTATCTTTTGGCTCCTCAGGCCTGCAGTACCGTCCACTCTAAGGGGACCCACAGATTTATTATGTAAGAAAAGCAAAAACCAGTGGATAAACACCCAAAGCAACATCAACTAAGGGAAACTTCACAGGCAAAACAATGTACACATACACACCCAACATTGTACCTGAAGGGTCATCCTTCAACATTTGGTCTTTATCATCAAAAGTTGAGGTATAACTGACTGAAATTGAATTAAAAAAATGTACTTCAGCATTAGTCGCAGCCACATCACTGAGAAACTACATGTACCATTGTCTGTCCTTGTTTTAAAGGTAATAACTGCACCTTTCTTGGCAAGGAATTTGTAATTTAACAATTGTTGGAAAGCAGATACATCTACTCTAGCTGCTGCTTTAATGTATGTATACACAAATGACCAAGAATAAAGAACGCGCTGGCATTAAACTGCAATACAACACAAAGTCGTGTATGTACCACCTTTGTCAAATGTTATCATGTGTTTATTGCCACTGTGTCATCAATTCCATGGTACTCTGTGAGGCTGGAGTTTACTTTGTTTTATTTAATTGCATTAGGTAGTGGATTTTTTTTATACATGTTAATGAGGTGGATACAATTTTAGGAATTTAAGTAAAACATCACAACAAACTCCAGCCTCAATATGCACCACAGAACCGTCTCGACACACAACAGAAACTGTTACATTGCACAGGTGTTCCTATTTTTCTGGTCACTTAGTGTATGAGTAGAGTCTCTAGAAAGGGTGTGAGGGCGAGCACAGAAGCCAGATACCTTGCAAACATGTGGACCTTAAATAATAAAGCAGCTGCGTTACATCAGCAGACATTGCAGGATCATAAAAACAAAGTGAAATCACATAATATCTTTGACAGGAAATTTAAGTGCGCAACCTGACGCTTTAAAATGATAGCTTAACATAGGACCATAATCACAATAGCTATTCTTAGTGGGAAAAATATTCTTAAATAGCTCCTATCTGAATGTATAGTAAATTATTTTACATTTCAACGCTCAAATAATCAACGTGAACTACCAAAGACAAAAACAACGGCAGCAAATAAAAACAGTGTCTGGCAACATGACAGATATGCATAATCCTACACATGTACAAGGTTGGAAATACAGTTCCCATATGCAAATAGTGATGTTTTATTATTTGTCACATGTAGTTCTCAAACATAGCAGAGAAGGGAGAGTGACAGTGACGAGGCAACTGACCGGCTGACATTTCCACCCCCTTTCCCTGCCTCTGACCAACGGTCAGAAGGCACTGCCAGATGTGCTTCTGTGTTTCGGCTCACATTGCAGGGGCTTAGTCAGGCTCATCGCAGGCTTGATTCAATTTCTAGCAGCTATGACGACGGATAACGCTACACCACCAATGGCGACTGCGGTGGCACCAAATAACCATTTCCAGCTGAGACCCTGGGGAAATAAAAGGCACAAAAGAGCAGAGAAGAGGTCAGGACACAGTCAAAAGATCAACGCAACATCTGATTTAAAATATCGATACACAACTGACGCTCCTTGTTTATTACCACACAAAGTCTCCCTTGATGATTACATACATTTCACCTCAAAAGAACTAATAAGAGTGCATGAGTATCATGTGATGATGGGCAGAGATTAAAGCTGCGTTTAAACCCCAAATGTTAAGCACATAAACACATTTGTTTTCTCAAGGAATGACTCTCACCCATGAAGACTTGGCTCGGTGTTTCTGTGTGCTGCTGCCACTGGTGGGGTTTCCCAGCATCTTCTTATACATGGCCTGCTCCGCTCCTCTTTGCTCTGAGTGTTTCTTCACCAGCTTGGAGAGCTCTGCGTGGATAGTCTACACAGTGGAGACAAGACAAATAGGTGTTGCAGGCACCGCTACAACATCCAAACCCCCCCTTTACTCCACCAATCCAGCTATCCTAACATGGAGGAAACAAAATCCCGCTACTGTACAACAACCCAAGACTGATTTCCTTGTTAATGGGAATACGTCAGGATGACAATACCCTTACATCAACACACACAAGTGGCCACCAAGTGTGCTGGAAAGCATTACAATTATGTCAGGCTTTTCAAAACATTTTTCTATAGTCGTGATTGATGGATTAGACACTTGAAATATTTATGCTGCTCTTTGTTGTCTTACAAGAAATCTCAGACTTGCATCGGAAACATAACCTGGCATTTAGCCAACATGCAGACACAATTCCAGGATATGGGTAAAATTATTGTTCCGACATTGTCTCAGATCTGAGTCACTTCACTGCTCTTAAAGCTGGTGAGTGACTAAGCAAACCAGTGCTTTCAGAAACAACAAAAATGTTTTTGCTTTGTAAATGCACTTGAGGAAGACTGATGGGAGTGCCATTACATGGAGTTAACAGCAATTTTCACGTAATATTTGGGCTCAGTCTGCCTTTAAAGACGTTTGTGAGGAGAGGAGAGTCAGTGTGAGTGTGTGTACAAATCTCTCCCTTGAGGATTTGTCTGTTCCTATCTAACGCTAAGAGTAGCAGATACATTTACAGCACAGTGTTCGAGCAGTTGGCACCACTATTGTGCAATCAGCTACCCACCGAAATGACAAAAATGACACAACACCAACTTGTCTCCAGGGCAAGAACTAAACAGGCGAAACAAACATGTAACATGTTGTCCTTAAAGCATCCGAGGCCGTACAAACTGAACTGTCAAGTCTGCGTGTCATGTCAAAAAGTAAACAAACCACAGACAAATAAATCTTCTGTCATCAATTTGAGTTGATGTCGATGTAGGGCGTGGATGGCTGACACCAGTGTGAAAAATGCAGACAGCATGTCGGTCAAAGCCTCAAGAAGAGAGAGAGATAGAACGTCATCCTGTCACTCTGTGATGCCCACTTCTGTTTAAGACCGCCTCATTGATTATAATGGGAGCGTTCTGGCATTGTCACTGAAGCACACCCACTGTTCTTGCTGTTAGAACATGAGGTTATTTAGGGACTCTTTTCATTATTATAGCGCTAAGAGGCGAGTCCAATTTAACATGAAAAACAGCTATTCTCGCACCAGTTTATAAATGTGTGTTGACACAGAGACGTCACTGCAAACATACAGGAGGCTGACAGCTATGTATTGACACATATGTAAAAGCCTGCATGCCCATATAAACTGCAGCATGCATCTTTTTTATTTCTGACATGACATAATGCATTTCTTCATTTATTTGCTCATGGTAGAAAGTAATTCTTTACCTGCATGTTACTTTTGCATTATTCCGCAACATCCCCTGAGATGAAGTGTCACGTGATTGCCAATGATATGTCTACATATCAGCACAAAACCAAGGCTCAATAGGAGAAGACACAATTATATCGATTTATAAAACAGTATAAAAGAGGTTGGCCTTCCTAATATCGCCTAGTATGAATAATAATGGCCTCAAAATGATACATCAATAGGCCTAAATAAAACAATATAAGATACTGGCCTTCCTAACACCATTAGAAAAGGCTTTTAAAAGGAATCTGAACAGCATTTACCGGGCCAAATAAATACAAACTCAGAAGCTGTTCACTTCTCAAACCATAGCTTTACAGTAGAATAGTCCAGCTTATTGGACGTTTATCACAAAAGCAGAGGTTATATCTCATGAGGAGGAGTCTTTAAAATTGTTTGTCAAACAACCTCAGGGTCAGCGTAAGACTACTCAGGCTGTTGGCTGTCACTGTTGTCACCATGTTAAACATTTTCTCTATCTGTGCATTATGAAGATAACTAAAGAACTTGTGTATCATTTAGACTCTTTTAGCTACTACCCCCCAACAATATGGAACACCCTGCCTTTAACAGGACAGTTTTAAACGATGACTCATAACATATCTTTTTATTATAGCCTATAACTAACAGCTGTTTTAATATTCTTAATATGTTTGTATATGTGTATATTTTATTACTTAATTGAATTATTGATTGATAAATTGGTTTATTCTTCCCTTTTCTTTTGAGTAAGTGCTGTATAATTGTATGATTTTATTTCTTTGCTGTTTGTCTCTGCCGCTGAATTGTAAAACACTTTGTGCATGAAAGGAGCTATATAAATACGGTTCATTCATTCATTCATTTAGTATCTGTAATGTGATTACACAATTTAGGAGCAGTTAAGTGTTTTAATTAATCAATTACTGCGTTATAGCTAAATGTAACGTGATTACAAACTAGGGCTAGACAATATTGGGAAATCAAATATCACAATAATTTTGACCAAATACCTAAATATCAATATTGCGACAATGTTGTAGGGCTGACTGATGGTGCTTTCCCGTAATATTTACAGATTTTGATAAAAAGTCATCAGTAATGCAGCTATAATGACTACGTGCATAAAGATGAATGATATAACAGCTAGAACAGTCTGGTAAGCTCAGAAAATTAAACCACTAAACTGTAATGCAGCCATTAAAACCAGGAAAACACAACATTTATGATATTATGATATCCAAAGTCTGAGATGATAGCTACCGTCGTATCAAGACATCGATACAATACTGATATATGGCCCAGCCCTACCCCTCAACACTGCTAACAACACACAAGCCCATTAAAACAGCAACCCACTTAACATGTACTATTGCAAAATGTAATAGTACATTATATTTACACTGTGTGTGATGGATGAAAAGCTTAAGTGGTGGCCAGGCCATGTGCTGTTTGACAGATTGGTGTAGGACTCAAGTGGGGGATTCTGGGCATGAGTACCATGCTGCTGCAGCTCACAGCGAATCCAAGGAGCCCACGCACTGAGCGGAGTTCTGTCAAATGGCCTCGTGTAGCCAAAGAACTGCATATACTAAACTGTACAAGCAGGAGAACAGGAACAGTGGCTAGGTATTAGATATGGCCGGGGTGCAGGGCAGACCTATTTACAGCAACAACATGAAAACAGATCCTCTGAAATGATGAATCAGCAGTCCACTTGACCTTGCACTACAACTATGTGATCTGATGTGTTACCCAATGGTGCCCTCTACTGGTCATATTAAAAAACTGCAGTTTCTCTATACTACAAGCTGTAGTATATGAGGAGGCCAAAAGTACCTTGTTGCTTGGTTCCAACTTCAGCGCCTTCCTCAGAGTTTGAATGGCTTCTGTGTATTCACCTTGCAAGGCTAGTACCTTAAGTGAAAACACATCATATTACTAAGGCAGTCAGTAACAAACTGAAACAGAAAGTGAAAGAACAAGAGAGACATGTACCTTGCCCATGCGGAAAAGTGCTTTTATGTTGTCTGGCTGGTGTTCCAGTGCTGAGACACAAGATTTAAGTGCTGCTTCATAGTGGTCCAGTTTCAGCTGAGAGGCAGCCATGTTGTTTAAACACTTCACTCTCACATCCATCAGCTCATTCTCCTCCTCAGGAGTAATGTCAACTGCAGCACAAAAAACAAACAACATAAGCAAACAGTTTAAAACCAGTAAAAAAAATGTTCACAAAACAGAATCTTGCAATTTAATTAAATAACTATAACGTCCACCAGTGCGTCGTCAAAATGGCCGAACATTCGTCAAATCTATTCCCTGCCGATCACCATCTAAGGTGGGCAAGTTAGGACATGCTGGGGGGAAGGCCCATCTTTCTTGGGGGGTGAATCTAAAACTTCAAAAAACTGCATAATTAAAGTAAGCATCAACTCTTCAAGCCGTGCTTCCCCACCTGGTAGATTCCCCCTGAGCCTTCAATAATGCTGAGCGACAGAAAACCTTCCCACTTAGCCCTGACTCCCTGGCAAAAATCTCACCTTTAGAGCTAGACTCCGTTATCTGCAGGGCAATGCTGTACGAGTTGACAGCAAAAGCATAGTCCCCACGCTGATAATGAACATTGCCTCGCTCCCTCTTATGGCTGGCCAGGGCAATCTTTTCAGTGGGGGGCAGCAGCTCCAGATCTGGAGCATCAGTGGCTTCCAACAGTTTCACTTCGAGGGACAGCTCAGCGTTGGGGGGGACCTCGGGTTCAAGACTGGAGAGATGAAGAAACACAGTCAAGTTCAAGAGTTAGGGAAATAAGTGAAATTAATTACTAGATTAGACAGAAGGAATTTCAAATGCACATGTCCTGACGAAAGTACAGTCAGGTCCATAATTATTTGGACAATGATACAGTTGTCGTCATTTTGGCTCTGTACACCACCACAATGGGTTTTAAATGAAACAATGAATACCTGCTTAAAGTGCAGACTCTCAGCTTTCATTTAAGGCTTTTTTCAAAAATGTAGTATGAACCGTGTAGGAATAACAACCATTTCTTCACACAGTCCCCCGACTTTAAGGGCTCATAAGTATTTGGACAAACTAACATAATCATCAATTAAACAGTCAGTTTTAATACTTGGTTGCAAATCCTTTACAGTCAATGACTGCCTGAAGTGTTGGACACATAGGCATCAACAGATGCTGGGTTTCTTCCCTGGTGATGCTCTGCCAGCCCTTTACTGCAGCCGTCTGCACTTCCTGCTTGTGTTTTGGGTGTTTTGCCCTCAGTTTTGGCTTCAGCAAGAGAAATGCATGCTCAATTGGATTCAGGTCAGATGATATGACTTGGCCATTGCAGAACATTCCACTTATTTGCCTTAAAAATGTCTTTGGTTGCTTTTGCAATATGCTTCAGGTCATTGTCCAACTGCACTGTAAAGCATCGTCCAATGAGTTTTGAAGCATTTAGTTGAATCTGAGCAGATAATGTAGCCCCAAACACTTCAGCTTTCATCCTGCTGCTCTTGTAAGCAAGACAAGACTTCACTAGAATAAATACAGAGGGTTTATCACAAGATGCAAACCATTGGTTAGCCTTAAAAATGGAAGGCCAGATTAGAGTTTGTCAAAAACCATCTAAAAAGCCTGTACAGTTATGTCATGGCCATGTATGGCTGCCAGTGGAACTGGTTCTCTTGTATTTATTGATGATGTGACTGCTGACAAGAGCAGCAGGATGAAAGCTGAAGTGTTTGGGGCTACATTATCTGCTCAGATTCAACCAAATGCTTCAAAACTCATTGGACAATGCTTCACAGTGCAGTTGGACAATGACCTGAAGCATACTGCAAAAGCAACCAAAGACATTTTTAAGGCAAAGAAGTGGAATGTTCTGCAATGGCCAAGTCATATCATCTGACCTGAATCCAACTGAGCATGAGTTTCTCTTGCTGAAACCAGAACTGAGGGCAAAACACCCAAAACACAAGCAGGAAGTGCAGACGGCTACAGTAAAGGGCTGGCAGAGCATCACCAGGGAAGAAGCCCAGCATCTGATGATGCCTATGTGTCCAACACTTCAGGTAGTCATTGACTGTAAAGGATTTGCAACCAAGTATTAAAACTGACTGTTTAATTGATGATTATGTTAGTTTGTCCAAATACTTATGAGCCCTTAAAGTCGGGGGACTGTGTGAAGAAATGGTTGTCATTCCTACACGGTTCATACTACATTTTTGAAAAAAGCCTTAAATGAAAGCTGAGAGTCTGCACTTTAAGCAGGTATTCATTGTTTCATTTAAAACCCATTGTGGTGGTGTACAGAACCAAATTGATGACAACTGTATCTTTGTCCAAATAATTATGGACCTGACTGTATGTCTCACAGACAGGTTCAGAACATCAAAGAGTAGAGATTTTAGAGCAAGTAAAGCTACGCTGTTTTGTTTATATTAAAGAATTTACATCTGTTTGTGAATTAAAAGCAGCTTTAGTGTGATTGTAGTTTTGTTTACACAGCCTATAGCAGTTAGACTAAAACACATCACTACCTCCCTCGGGCACCATATGCATATTTTGCATCAGACTCGATTAAGGCCAATTCTCCCATTTCCATGAGCTGAACTGTGAGATCCAGAGCCTGAAAAGAGAAAAATCTCATTATATACAAGGTAAAACTAACTGCCGTAAGTACCGTGAAATCACCATTTGAGGAGTCAAATGGTCCATTTTTACCTGGATGACATCTCCGTCTCCGAGGGTGAAGGAGAGGTCAGGCTGCTCCTCTACAAGTGTCCCATCCCTCAGGCATGTTTTGAGATGTATCTTTACATTCTGTCCTTTCTGTGGCCGACTGTCTCGCCCTTCCCCTGCCTCCAGGACTTTTTTCTTCAGCTGGTCATTACCTGGAGACAAACCAAGTCATAATAGGACAAAGGACAAGTCTGTTGAGCAAACCACAAGTCAGAAGCCTTGCTAAATGGGATCACTAGAAGAGAGTGTGTGGATTTGACCAGAGCACCTGCATATCAACAATATTAACTTATTGCTACTGTAACATTTTCCTTTAGTCTACATGGGGCTTTTCCTACATACCTAACACATCCAGCCATTCATCCACTTGACCTGGAGGCTCTGAATCTGTGTCTGCATTTTTCTTTTCAGGCTCAGCAGTGTTCTTCCCCTTCCCACCACCTGCATCCTCCAGAGGAGGGGGCTCATCGTCAATGTCTTCTTCATCTAAAACCTCAAAGTCCTCCCCGCTGTCCAGCAACGAGGTCCGTCCGGTCTTCTTCGCTGGTGCCGCACTGTCATAGCTTTCAGATGCGTCCAGTGTCTCCTCTTTTTCAGCCATTAGTGGAATACTGTGAGAAAGAAGACAAACAACTTTAACAACAAAGCAACTTTAATGGCTTGTCAAGTGTCCCAAAACCGGAATAACACAAACGTTGCCAAATAAATCCGTTGCTAAATATTTACAGACTACATCTATGATCTTATTATCATGCTAACACAACATCTACAATAAAGGCGACTACAATCCAAAACCATTCAAGACTAAGTCGCCTATTATTATCAATAAACAAATATCCAACATGGTCACAATTACTGCTCACCTGTGTACCGTTTAGCTACAACAGCAACGCTATATTTTGACAAACAGGAGCCACGCTGGCTGCACGTTTCCAGAAGTTTCTGACAAGTTATCCTGCCGCTAATATCTCCTCAAGCAGCTAGCATGCTACTGCTAACAGACGTTAGCCGAGTAAGTTACTAGCAAACTAGCATTAGCTGTAACCTCGCTGGGGCTGTTTCTATCTCGTCTTACAGCGAACCACTGCTTTCATCGACTCCATATAGAGCGAGTCATTCTGTACATCATATCTGATAAGCCCATTTATCAGAATAAACAGCACATTACCTTCAAACACTATCTGCAGAGGGTTGTTTTGATCCCCGGACGAGCTCCCCCTCCAGGTTACACTGATGAAGTCGGTTTGCCGTTGGGGAACACGAGAGCAGTGGGGCCCGGGTATGTTGCTGTATATACAACATCAAACTGACTTCGCAGCGGTCTGTGGCTCATCCCAACAGGCTGCTTCCTGTTAACCTTGAGCTGCTGTTCTTCTATTGGAGCTTTACATGCATATTAATGTTTGACCTCACAGGCATCCACAGGACTACAGGCTTAATTTAATGATGTAAAATGTTTCCACCTCGTTATTTATATTTATCTAAAGCATATAATACCAAAAGCCTAATTGTAACAAAATTAATTAGAGACTATAATACAGTAACAGTAGCCTACAAACTGTATATTTTTCCAAGTAATTTCAGAGCACATATAGGCCAAGTAGAACCATTGCCAGATGAAGAACACTCTGTCATCTCACAAACATGGCATCATTGCCAGTGATGTAGCTCCTGGATGTACACAGCAGGACTTTATAGATAATATTCTCTGGTTTCTTGCTTACTGTAAAACTTCAAGTAATAGCCTGGGCTATTAATTGCTCAAATCACTGAACTCAGCAGGCCTATATTTGAGACAGGGGTCTATATGGGACAATTCCTTTTACACAAAACAGCTGCTTGGCAAAGATGGGAATACAGTGAATCTGTTTATTCATTACTTTTCTAAGCTCTAACAATTTAAGCTTCAAATAACATCAATTTTGAGCTCTGAGAAACTGCATCAGAGAGAGAGAAAGTTATGACATTTGTTTTACGATGCCCGAGTATTACAACCCCTGGCATACAGACACAACACCACTTTATCCTGTTAAAACAATACTTGTAACTTGGAGTGATATCCATGAAAAACCTTTTGATTCCTTTGATGGAATATGAAGGAATATGAACAACTTACAGGTAATGGAGGAGTAGACACACATTCTGACTAAATAACGACTTCAGAGGTGGGGAGTCACCGCTTTTTTCATCTCTTGTTTACCAGGCTGGTAAATCTAAATGAATTACTGTCATCTTTGGTGCTCACACTGTAATTTCAGTAAAATGAACTGAATGATTGGATTGTGGAGAATCTGACCGAGCTAACAATGTGTAGCATGTCCATATTGACAAAAGTTGAAACTTTTATGTTTGTATGTGCGTTTGAAGCGGCTAACTAATGTAAGCTCAAGTGGGTAGCAAACAACCTGGTTTATACATACAAATAACTTCTGTAAAAATGATCTTGCTTAGCAACCAGACCAGGCGTTTGATTGAGACAGGTGTTTATTTGTCAAAATCTTTAGCCACACTGGGCTAGTAAAAGGGACTGGGCGTTTAATTAAAGTTTTACAGTATTTGGAGCTGTAATAAGCTGTTTGCAAATTCAAAACTGGTGGCTGAATTATGGAGTGTTGGTTTAGCCCAAATCCAAACTGGTGAACTTAGTTAACGCATCTTATTTCAAAGGTGTGTGCACACCTAAGGCCAAAATACCAATGCATAATATAAAGTGGTGAAAAGTTACAGATTAAACCAGGGAACTCCAATTCTTCCCAACCATTAAGATGCAGGAAGTCCTTTTAAGTTAACCCTTTCCTTCCATACATCTTTGCTACAACCTGTGGTCCAAGGTATCATGCAGGTTTATTAAATCGGAGGGTCTTAAGTGCTATATCATAGGCAACTGGACTTACTTGAGATTTTTGAAGACGTACATAGGGGCTTCTTCAGTTCAGAACTCTTGGATGAGAAGTAAAACATCTTCAAGAAACTCAAGGAAGTCCAGTTGCCTTCGATGTAGCACTTAAAATGACCATGACCTGGATGACTGAGAATCTTCACTGACATAAACCAGAGGGCAGAATTGAGTTGAAAAGTAATTATAATAGTTTATAGACAATAATATGGTCTACTAAGTTGTTTAACTTTTTGATCAGGGTATTTTTTCAAAGATAACATAATTTACAGAAAAAAAATGCTGAGGTGCTAGGCAGTAATTTTAATTAATATCCCCCAATATTTAAAATGCCCCCCTCAATATATTGACAAAAAATGTACAGAAAAAAATAATTGTTATGCTAGGACAGACATCCACGCACTGCTGTCTAAAATAATCCTTAACAAATGTAATCATAAATAAACTTAACAAATGATCATTATTATTACTACTGGTTCTAGTGTAACAGTGTGCTGCAGTTCTGTGTGTGGTTTGTCTGAGTAGTATTGCTGTGCCCCAGTGACTGCTGTGGGTAGATACAATCAATGTCAAACACTGCTCTGTCTCTATTTTATTACTTTCAAATATATTAAAAAGTGAAAAACTAGAAGGTAATATGAGTGTGGGTGATTTCACTGCCACTTGTTGTAGTTTTTGTAAAGTGTTTGTCATAAAAAAGCCAAAAAAAAATCATAAAAGTCATAGTGTACTATGGCATAAAAAGTCATTAAAAATTACTTTTTTCAAATCAATCATATGCTGGCTCCCTACAATGGCACTCATTTATCAAAACTGCAAGAACCCCTGATTGCAGATTTTTATTTAAAAATGCTCTGAAATGGTGAGTTTAGCTGTTAAGTTTCTAAAAATTTCCTCCCAGACTCCGCTCAAGGATTGGGTCATAGAGGGTTAGATTAGGTATAGATCCTATATATAACATCTCTTTATGTGCTGCATTAGATGATGGCTGAAAGCTATAATGAGAGCTCAGAGGAAGGGATTCAAACACCAAGGAAAAATCAAATGACATTTATTATTGATGCATTGTTTCTTTTTTGATAAGCAAATTATCTGTTTTTCTTTCAGTCTAAAGAAACTTTACAATATAAAGAAACATACAAAGAACATCTTTATTACCTACACAAGACACCTAAGTCCCTAAGACAAGATTCTGAACTATCCTACCATGAAAATACAAAGCAAACCCAAGAGACAGACTGCTTCATATTGAATACTGCCGTGTCATCAGAAAGGACCATGAATGGTACAGGAGAATCATTTATATCCCCTTCCCTTGAATCCCCCACCCCTCCCCGACTCGACATAACCACCCCACCCGACCCGACCAGCAAATCTTCCTAATGGTACAGTATTATACATCACAATAGAAGTACAGAGATGGCCAACGATCGATATACACAGAGGACTGAGAGAGGATCAGTGAGAGAGCTTCGATCTATACAACGCTATAACAGAAGCGAATAGCAAAGGACACAGTTACTTTTTGATCTATTCTTAATTTAAAATGAGGTTTCTCTTAAGTATTTTTACCTTTTTAAAAGTTTTCTTAAATTGATAAAAATCCTTCATATTAAAAACTGCAATAAGAGGTCACATGTTTCCTGTGTGAGAAGATGCCCTTTGGAACAACGATTCAAATCCAATAGTAACATTTAACTGAAACATAAGGAGACAAGGGCAGAGTGAGGACGCTACAGCTTGTTTGCTTCTCTCTGTCCTGTCCTCTCTCTGTCCTATCCTCCCCCACCATACAAGCATACAGTCTGCATTTATTGTGTTACTGTATTCTATACACTTTTATGGAAATTTAGCCACACGAGCCAAATCGTCAGCGCATCCGTTCTCTATGAAAAACATGGACAGTTTTATTTATAATTTACTTTCAGCTGTATTCATTGGTAGTGACTGACATATCAAAACATGTCAATGATATCAAAATGCATTATACAGTATTTACAAAAAAGGAAATTAAAGAGAAGGGAGAGGGGGGAGTTTTGGTGGAGGTGAGGGGACGGGGTTGGAGGAAAGAAGGGAGGTGTGTGTCACTACGTCGAAGGAACACTGGAGAAAGTGTTTCCCAGGCCGTCGATAGCCAAATCCTGGAGATGTCCCCGTTGAACTCTGGGTACAATCTGTTCACATTGATATCAGAAAATTGATAAGTACGTCACCATCACCCGTGGAGGCTACAATGGTTGTTTAGTTACTGTTGGTTTGAGCACAGCCATGACGTTAAGTGCTGCAGTGTGATGCCATGAGAGATAATTTATCTCTTTGAAACAGTGACAGAGAGTTGATCAGGCCAAGAGTACATAACATACAGAAATTAAATAGCCTAATATGTAATTATGGTTTTCTTTGTGTGCAGATTCTATGGGCGTTCATTTTCTCAGTTGAATACATTTAAAATAAAAACAATCTGCTGAAAACAATCCACAAAAAAATGGAAATATATCCATTACAAAAGTATCCCATTATTGTTCCTCTTCTTTAGACCGACGTGGCTGCATGGTCTGTTAACCCCAAGGTGCATCACTCTGCTCCCATCAACAGCTTCCCCAATCCATTATCCCGCACGTGTGACGGGACTCGCTGAGGGAACTTTTCGAAGGGAGCTCCGAGGAGACAGTTATTTAGCCCGTCCTGTCTGGGTTAAGAAACTGGATCATACAGGATCTGTGAGTTCACCCCAAACTTCAAGCAAGAAATCAGGCTTCACGAGTGTGTCTGAGGTCCCACGACATCTCCCAGTCCAAAAAGAGGAGACACTGGCGAGAGACCAGAATGAATCATGGGAGGAAAACAGTGCCACTTGGAGTCCACAGTGAGGTTGAAATCAAACAAAGCAATGGAGGGGAAGGAACCACATTTTAGGATTCACAGACAACTTGTAAATAACAAATAATAAAAACAACCACATTGCAAGCTAAATATGTCTTATTTACAGAGAAGACCAAATTCCATAGAGGAGATGCTCTCTCGCTCTGTCCGTTACTGAATGAGAACTGGCACCTGTCCCGACAATCATGGCAGGATTTCATCAGAGCCGTTCTCGTGCAGTAAAAACATAGAAACCTGTGAGAAGGGGTGCTTATTAAGACAAGATAGCTAGACACACGATTCAGGTGCACCAGCAGACACTTTGTACCAGATAACAGCTCTGAGAAAGCCTCTGTTTTAACTGTATGGGTAGTTTCAGCCACCTCGGCACAAACTACTTCATCTGGTGAAGACAGACGGTTACGTCCACTCTGACTTTGAACATGTATGCAAACGGTGCTACAAACATTTAGATGGCAAAGACTCAAGCTACAATTTCAGAAGAAGTTTTAAAGGAGAGGTATGTGAAGTGACTGTGACAAAAAAAACAAGACAAAACAT